AGTGTGGCCTTACCAAGGCATTATAAAGTGGTATTAACACTTCACGTGATCTTGATTCTCTCCCTCTGTTTATGCATGTTTTAAATGTTTTAAGAGGGAAGAAAGATGACAATATATTTTTTCCCTGTCTACTAAAGCAAAATGTAAACGTTCGGTTTGCTTGCAATTACAAAATTCTTGTTCAAAGTGGCATGCAAAACATTTTTCAACCTCTCAAAAACAGTGCAGGGTAGTCCTCGACTTACAACCATTTGATTTAGCGAACATTCAAAATTACAACGGACCCTGGCTTATAACTGTTGCAGCATCTCCACAGCGGTCGCACGAACATAATTCAGGTGTACGGCCACAGGCCTGCGTTCACAATTGTTGCAATACCTCAGGATTACACCATCATCACTTGCGACCCTTGTCCTTGACTTTTGGTGAGCAAAGCCGACACGGAGAGCTGGATTTGCTCAATGACCATAAGATTCACTTAAGGACTGCAGTGATTTGCTTACCGATGGCAAGAAAAGGCAATGCAATTGGCTATATCTGTGGAGATTCTAAGTCGTCCAAAGGTCCTGGTTGTCCCAAAGGTGGCTTTTTAAAAGACAAACTGGACCTTCTGTTTTTTCTTTGAAAGCGTTTCACTTCTCACTCAAGAAGCTTCTTCAGCTCTGACCGGATGGCGGGGAATGGAAGGATTTATACTCCTTGCAGATAGCGGGTCATTTGCATTTTTTAGGGAGTTGTTGAGGCCACCTGGAGGTTTTTCCTGTGTCCTCAGGGTTATCTGAGTAGTGCAAATAAACCTCCAAGTGGCCTCAACGACTCTCTACTGTGATTCCCCCCAAATAAGACGGGGTCTTATTTTCTTTTCACCCCTGAGATAAGCCCTTGGCCTTATTTTCAGGGGAGGTCTTATTATTTTTGAGGTGCAGGAGGCGGCGAACGCGATCACCTCGTGGCTGCTGCTGTGCTATATTTTTGGGGAGGGCTTATTTTAGCGCATGCGCTCAAAAGCCCGATTGGGCTTATTATCCAGGGAAGTCTTATTTTCAAGGAAACAGGGTAGAAGTATGCAAATGACCAGCTGTCTGCAAGGAGTAGAAATCCGTTTCCAAGGTGGGGCGTGGGAGGAGTCACTGAATGGGTATTGTTACAGCCCAATTGCCTGGAGACTGAGGTAAATCTGAGGACACTCCCTCTGTTCCTCCTGGTGATTCCCCAGATTAACCTCAGTCTTCGGCCTAACAGTGACTCTCCAGTGAATAGTTAGTTAGGATTTTTTTGTGTAGTATTATTTTTCCCCCTTTTGCTAGATCCACAGGAATTTCTTGCAGTCTTTTTATTTTTCGCTTCTCCTACCTCGGTTTTCGCGTCCTTTTCCTGCCTGCCTTCCATTCCTCAGTCAAGAGCTGAAGAAGCTTCTTGGATGAAAGCTTTGAAGCGTCTTCAAAGAGAAAAAAAAATTCCCCCCTGAAGTCCAGTTGCCTCTTGAAAAAGCATCTTTGGGCCAAAATTGACGAGGACTCATTTAACAACTGTCTTGCTTAGCAACGGTCATTCTAATCCCAATTTGTGGTTGCTAATTGAAGAGTACTTGTTCAATAGCTGCTTTAGAACATCTTTCTTTGAAAGTATGCTTCTTCGAAATATAACAATTAGCATTCTGGAACAAATACCTGGCTTAGATTTCAAGATAGGTTTTTTAAACAGATTGACTATTCCAAGGTCTCCTATATCTGGTGCTTGTTTCTGAATAGATACCTAAACATTACAAAAAAAAAGACACAATTTTAGGACCTGGATTTTTCCTTCTAGGCATTTTAACCCAACCAATGCATAAACAGATTTCGTTGACAAACCTTAATATAGGCAGAGCCTTCCAAATCACTTGGAATCTGAACCGCCAGAGGGCAGTAATCATCGGGAATCTTTTTATCCAGATCAATGTCAGTATTTTTTATGACCTCAAAGGTACCGTGATGTGGAAATAGAGACCCTTTATAAAGAAGTTGAAAACAGTGTGTTATATTTTACATTACGCAGATCTGAAATATCCAGTGCATGTTCGCACCTTCCCGTGTGCATACACTGTAGGCATCATTTTTAAAGCATCCACCGCCACTTCAAAGACATTTGTCTTGGATTACAGAAAATTCCATACAATCTCTAAAGGGACAAGGAAAGATTAATCAAGCAAAACTACAATCAGAGCAAAAGATATTGGTTTCTACTTTCTTCAACACTTAGGTTACGATAAAGCTGAATTTAAAACTCATTTTTCGCACGCTTGTACCCACATTAGAGAGGTAGGTTCCTACTAGTTCGGACTGTTTTTTTAAAAAGTGGGCCCACCTGCCCACCCCTGGGTTATACTTACCTTTATTCCAACTTCTGAAGCCCAGCTGATCTGGGGCAGCAGCTTGAATTGCTGCTCCTCAGCTGTATTCCTTTTTCTGACTAATTTTCGTTTGATTGCGCACACACTGTGTGCCTGGCGTGCCTGCTCAGCAAACCGGTAATAAACCGGTTAGGAACCCACCACTGCCACATTATCTCCATCCACAGTGACACAACACGACTTACGACTTTTTCCCACACAACCACTCAGCAATCATGTGATCAAAATTCAGATTTCAGATTTAGTTTATTTGTATGCCGCCCTTCTCCGGGAGGGACTCAGGGCGGCGAACAACTCAGAGGGGGA